GCTGGTGCCTGGAGCCGGCCCTGGGCCCCACACCACAGGGCGCCCTGTGAAGCTGAGTTGGTTGGGCTTTGGCGTCAGCCTTGGGCAGCTTGGGCTTCATGCCCTGAGCCCCACGGAGTCTTAACACTGGCCCTGCTCTTCGGTTTATTTTGGTGGACCCCCTGAAACCGGCTCGCTGTCCCCCAGGGGGCCCCAGACCCCTAGTTGAGAACTGCTGGTGTAAGTGCACGAGCAACTATGTTGATGAAACTTATGTACACAGGGACTGGAACAAGATGTAAGTTAAAAGTTGGAGACAATAGTGCATGGTGGTTACTTTAACTTACCCACTTTTATTGTTGTGTTTCTTGTGTCATTTTTCTCCAAGTCTCTAGGGCCTTGTCTGCGCTGAGGATGTCCTGATTTTTTTCCTCAGCAATGCTGGGAATGGAGCACTAGCAGAAATCTGATCCAGATGTTTCTATCATCATGTTATCTAGTCTTAGATGGCATGATGATAAAAATAAATGCCAATGGCTGAGCTACACTAATGCTTCCCACCATTACTAGCATTGCTGAAGCTGTTGGAACAAGGTTGGGAGGATTTCAGAACATCCCACATAGTTGCTGCCTTGATTGATGTGTACATAACACCAGTTTAAGCACCTGAACAGGTCCTTACAGATGTGTAACTTATAACCCCTCAGAAATCGGCCCCATACTATATATCAATTTAAATTAATCTATGTTTGGAAAAAAAATAGGATATAAGGGGTGAAATCCTGGTCCCACTGAAGTCAATAGGAGAACTCCCTTTGACTTCAGTGCGGCCAGGATTTTCATCCAAGAAGTTTAAAAGTGGAGGCTGGATCAAATACAAATTTAATTCATAGATTCATAGATTATAGGACTGGAAGGGACCTCGAGAGGTCATCGAGTCCAGTCCCCTGCCTGCATGGCAGGACCAAATACTGTCTAGACCATCCCTGATAGACATACCTCCAGGCTGCAAAGAGGAGTAGAACTGGCACCACTCTTAAGTGTCTGCTAAGAATTTCATGTCAGGGTGAGTGCCATGCATGTGGTTCCACATAAAAGAGAGGGAAGGAGAGGCTCCTGGGAACAGGCGTATTCATGTGTGCATATTGCTCTTCCCTTCTGGAGACCTGGGTTCAAATCCCACTTGAGTCACGAGTGAAAATGGGGTTTCGTGTTTTCCATCCTAGTCCTCGGATATTTGTCCACTTCATAAAACCCTATATTCCAGCCTTCTAATTAGTTCCTTCATGCTAGCAGTAGGATCACTAGTATTTTGAAAGTCAGGACTCCAGTACATTGAGAACTAAATGAGAAGCATGCACCATAGCTGGCTGCCATCTGTCCTTTCATAAGCACTAGATTTAATTTTAAACTTACAGGTATGGCTTCTTTGAAGAAGTAACAAATTAACCTACAAGGAGAAATCCAACAATTATGAATACTATCTCCAAAAACAAGTGTGCTCAGAACAGCTGCCTGCCTCAGTCACAAAGAAGATAATTAGTTCAGTTCGGCTCATCAGGATTTGTGCAGAGGGAATATGATGCACTGCTGATTGGTTAGAATAAGATTTATAGCCTACATATTTCTATAATTGCACTTCCTATGTTGCTTCAGGGTCGCCTGGACTCCTATCGTCTCCTCAAATATGACGTCACCTCTGCAGATGAATTTACAGGTCATAAAGGTTCATTACTGGTGCAAAGGCATAATGTTGCTCCGGGCATGTTTTTGGTATGTTAAAACTGTTACCACTATCTACATGTACAGCTAAATATTTTACTCTGAATGATATTACCACTATATTGGAACAAGCCTATGACTTCTGATTGTCACCATGCTGCACACTGTGTCTATTCAGACCCTCGTGGCAGTAGCCATAACAGTCTTTCTTCAGAAGCCCAGGGCCCTGCCATTCTCATGCCTTGATCTTAGCTATTTGCAATATAGGACTTGTGATACAAATTGCAGTATTCTAATTCTGCCTAGCAGAGGACTGCTGTACACATGCCACTAGCCAGTTATTTAGAATATGAACCATGTTTCTTTTTCAGTTTCAATTACAACAGTTAGTTTTCATCGTGTTTCTATTAACATGGCTCTATTTCATCTATTGCAAAAAAGCTTTGAAGGCATATCAAACAGGGTATCTCAGTCTTTAACAAGGGGAAAAGCATGACCTTTCAATCTTATGGAAAACCTTTTGCAAATCATGAAGGAGTTTAACTCAAACGTACACATTGGCTAGTTTTAGGTTTAATATAGTATTGTGTCAGGTTTGAATTAATTAGAACCCCAGATAGAAGACATACTAATCTTTTAATACTTGAGTGACTGATGCAAAGATTTGGCCATAATAATTTAATGTTACAACTCATCAATAGTTATAAAAACTATACAGCAGAGCTGATTCTTCAGCTTTTTAGTCCCATGCAATATTTGGCTAAGGATGGCTAAATATTGTCGAACTGCACTCCATTATTATTACACTGGGATCAAATTTAGTCCCTGAATCTCCATATGAACACCACCATACATGCTGTTTTTCCTTTAGTTATTCTTTGTTTCTTTCTTCTAACAACAAAAGTCTCCATTAATGACATAGTCGTTATTTCCCATAAACGATAGAGAGCAACAATAATCATTTCCTGCATTTGCTCAATATGAATTTTCAGCACTTGCTATGGCATTCAGAGTATAGGAGCTTTAATGTATTCTCCATTCCTGAGAAGAGTAACATTCAAAACTGTTTCTATCAGTGAGAAGCCAATTACTTTTAAAATAAAAGGCAGAGAAAAACATTCCACATGAATATGCCCATCCATGATCAACTTATCCGTCCACTGGGTGACACTGTCGATCCACACAAAGTTACTGGATTCATCTAAAACTGCAGAAAGTGTGTCCAAGGAAGATAAAATTTAATGTTTGACATTTCATTTCTCTGCACACTATTGCCACATGTAGCATTTTGCATAAAATATATTAACTTCCTCCTTGATGGTGAAGGGTAAATTTGTCAGATTAATGATATAACTAAAAAGTGGAAAAAACAAAGCCCCCACTTTGTTTACAGAGCTGATTGAAATCAGTGAAAAATAAATTGGTCATTTCTTAATGAGTGGAAAAGGAGACAATACGAGGTAGCTGAGCCCAATGTGTAGTTCATTGGGCATCGCCACACACTTGCCAATGGAAAAACATCTCAGTCTGAATGACCCACCAGCTTGTGATACAGATGAGCACTGCTATAACAGGACTGAGTAAAGATGCTAGCCAGCTACATAGAGATGTTTTGGCTCTGTTCCATATCACTGTTTTTGCATTTCCATATGGAAGTGGTTTAGTGAATATGAAAAAAGTTAGGAGGATAATTTAAAACTTTATGATTAATGTTAATCCAGATGTTTACAGCAGTTCATGAACTTGCCTAACATTCGCAGTCATTTAGAAGGTGTAGACAATGAATACATAGCAGTGGTCAATCTGATAGAATGAAATTTTCCCTTACCTAGAAAGATGAACCATCAGTGTGTGTTCAGTATCAATTCTATAGCCAGGCCTGAGAGAGATAAAAATAGTACATGGAGTCCAAATGCAACTGGAATTGGTCTACTCGTATGGCCTTGATTATTCTTCCTAGAAATAGGATGGTAATTAGCAAGGTTGTTAATGTCCAGAGATGTTTTCTTAAACAAGGACTAAACCACCATGTTTTGGTGTGGCTGGCAGCTTGGCTTTCTGAAAGGAGGTATTAACAGTCCTTTTCAATAACAGTCCCAGTGTCTTTCCACTGGCAAAACAATCAACCAGAAAAGAGATGTGTCAGTTTCACAGGTGACTGGTTACAACTCCCTAAGCATACCCAAAACCTTAACAATGAAACTGGACAAAAAACAATCCATACAGATGGTGCCTTCCTTACTATTCCTATGAAAGCATTCAAACCACACGGAATCAATTGATTTTAAGAAATAAGTCGATTCCTTATAGCAAGAACCATGTGACTTTCCATGCTGAGTCAGTGCAGGTTAATCTGCCAAAAAGACTGGTGGCAATTTAGGAAAGTTTCATCAGCATGGCCAAGAAGGAGAAAATGTGACCACAGCCACACCACAGAAATGCAAATATTCTCCATGAGCCCTTTGACCAGATCTACGTGAAACTCCCAGCAACAGCACTCCAGCCTTCTGCCCTGCTTCAGGTTATCTGGATACTATGGTGATTTGCAAAGTCAGTGTGGGGGGAAGGATGCCTCCAACTGCTACTCTGTCTGTGGTCACAGACAACAGAGGGCCATAATATTCCACAGACTGGCCCAAGAGCTGAGTAATAAATTACCTCAGAACATTCTGGAACCTCAGAGAGTCCATCATTCTCCAGTGGTAGATCCACATAAGAACCAGGAATGGTGCTGACCTCAGCCTAGAGGAAGTGACTATCTAAGGGCAAAGGGGGTACTGTGCATTCCGATTAGGTATATGTTTGCGGTTGACTATGGGCTTCTCAGGTTTTGAAAAACCAGGATACAAGTAAATTGTTGAAAGTCACATGGAAACTGGTTGCAGAGCCAGAAACAGAACCTTATTCTCCTGACTCCCTGTCCGGTTCCTTAGCCACAATACCATCTTTCTTCCCCTTCCCTTTTTTCTTATTACTTTAAAGTTGTATACAAAAGAAAGCTGACATCTTCAAATACAGATATCAAATATTTCAATTTTGCTTGTGTTTTAAGTTTGTATGCAGCAAAATTAATATTTCCTGGAAGGGAAGGGGTTCTTTTAAGCCCTGTAAATTTAGGAATGCAAAATTAAATATTTTAAATTTTTTACCTCAGTGCAGCCAACTAAATTTCCTCTAATTGAGTCAACACCCTTGTGAATTTCTTTAGATGATAAGGAAAAAAAAAATCTCCAGAGGAGCACAATTGTCATCTATGTCCTATGATGAAAAGACAACTCTTAGCTTGTCTAAAAGGACAGTGTCCATCCTTAATTTCCTATTTACGTAACTATTAAACCAACAAACACAATCAAGTAATGGTAAACAAAAAGAAATAAGTAAGTTGTAAAAACTTAAATAACGTAATTAATCAAAGGAAATAAAGTGTTTGGTGATATGAACAATTTTATTTTGAACATTTTTCCAAAAGATGATTTAAATGCCTTGAAGAAATAGTTTTACAGAAGCATTACAGCAATGCAGTTTGCTCCCAGGGGCAGCCACATCTCTCTGAACATGGCATGCGTTTCCTGCTATGCGGACAAATCCACCCCCATCTTAGGAGTCTTTGGCTGGGATTCAATTCCGGTGCCTACAAAACATTAAAGAGCTGTACGCTAAGAGGGGAAACCAAGATTTAACACTGCTTTTGGATAAAGTGGCTTTTCAAAGGCATTGTTTGCGCTGAATTAAAAAAATAAATAAATTAGAAAACCTCCTTCATCTGGCTTATCTTTCTTCCTTAAAGAATTTTAGCTGCTCTGCCCAATTTAGATGCTTTTTTCAGCTTGTTAGCGTATATGTGATTCCTGAAGAATTGACAGAATATTGAACTCATTAATCTGACAGTAACAAGGCATGATATATATTACCAGGAGACAAGTTCATTCTTAAGCTGGAATGAGCCAAAATCAGAATACCTGCTTTGACCCACAGGTACTGTAATAGCTGCAGGGAGGATGGTTGTAAGTCATTGCATCTGAAGCTGAACGTGATGATGATGCAGAGGCTTCAGCTGGTATAGGATTTGGCTACCCACCTTCTCCTTGGCTCAGGCTGATGTAGAGCACATCAGGCCTGTGCTCAAATCTCTCTACTACTCCAGTCAGCTTCCAATGCTGGTGTAAGGCCTGGGTCCTAATTTTCAAAGCAATTAACGGATCAGGCCCCAGTTACCTCGAAGACCAACTTGTGACCTATGAATGCCCACAACAGTTGCTCTTTTCTAGGACTACGCAGATCACAAAGCCCAGGATGAAGCACGTGAGGGCTGTGGACAAAACTTTCTCTGTTGAAGGGATCCTGCTATGGAACAATTTTCTAGAGATCAGGTGAATTCCACAGTCTTACCATCTTTAGGAAATCTTGCAAGCCTTCCTCCACCATAAGTGATACAATTCAAAACACCTTTTATTCTAAAACCCCTTTCAACTGCCCCTCATATCCCACTCCACCCCCCAAAACCCCCAAACCCCTATCCCAAGGAGAGGGCTGATCCCATAAAGGGAGGAGTCCCAGAGATTCCATGAAGTCCTCTAGTGACTCTCCTGTTGCTATTGATTTTATGTGGAAGGTGCTCATATACAGATAGGCATTATATAAAACTAGATAGATAAATGGAGCAGGTGTACAGTCAGGCTGAACTGTCTGTATGAGTGTCCTTATAAACCAGGTTGAGATCCTAGCTCCCTGAAATAGAGAGGAGACCCTTATCACCAAAATCTTATACATAATGGTGTACAGACCTGATGGAGGAGACTTGCCAGCCCATTGCCTTCCATTTGACATCAAGAGCAGAGCTCCTTTGGAGAAATCTGAGGTACGTACAGAAAAAGCTTTGTTATCCGGCATGTTGGGGAAATGGTGGGTGCTGGTTAATCAAATATTCCGGTTAACAGAGTTATACTTGACCAATGGAATACCAATTTTCAAAGAATTAGAATACAATAAAATGAATAAGGTATAAAATACAGTAATACAGTACACAGGTATTCACCAATCCAGTAGTAGTCCTGCACTGCACAGTGGTTGGTTTCTTGAAGCACTTAGGTGTATACAGGTAACCTACTGTATAGAAAACTTTTATCTTATGACACTATATATCACTAGGAGCAGCACATGGCATACACCCAGATCACTAAAAATACACTTAACACTAAAACTATACTGAACATAACTTAATTTTTTTTTGATAATTCAGAAGGCATTTCAAGGCTCTTGCAGTGCCTCAGGGTCATCCTTATCAACATCAATTATCATTGTAGATGTGAAAGGTGTAGTAGATTGAGCTGAATCTGTAACGACCCTATGACACACCCTGGAAACCGCTTTTTTGAATAAATCCCTGATATCAGCTTGCTTACTTGTCTTCTGCCTCAGAATGTGTTATTGCATAACCTCCTGGGCAGTATACTAGTCCTCGTTACTAGTTTGAAGATTTGTATTGGGAGATATCAGAAATGCCGGATAATAGAGCTTTCCAGTTAATAAAGTGCCGGATAACACAGCTTTTACTGTAACTCCATTTGCCCCTCAGCAGAGGAAAGCACTGCCAGCTCCCTATGATACAGACTGCAAACTTTGGACTTTGTCAGTTTGTCCACTATACAAGAGGGATTCATTCTCTCTCAACCTGTTCAAAGGGATCACCTTGAAGTTCTCCAGATCCAAAACATTCAAGCCTAATCATCCTGGAATCCAGCTGAAATTATTTCTGCCTTTTTATGCAGGGTAACCATTTTCCACTGCCAATGATCCAGGTGATTTTGTTTTGTCATACTCTTTCAACAGTAAATTGAATGTGCATGAATTGTCAGCTTAACAGGCAAGGAGGCTGAAGTCCTCTATCCACGGGAAAGAAACAGTATGTCCATCAGCTGTACAAGCTTCTTCATACTGTTATCTCAACCCAGTACTAGAAGGACCACCACGAGGAGAGGAGGGGACAATTCAGTCTCTAGGCCTATTCCACGCTTGGCATCTCTACCGAGACTGGTGCAGGGATGCCAGTTTGCTTCATTTATGGTGGTGATCCATCTACGTGCCTGTTAACAGCAAGACCGGGACCACAAAGGCTCATTCTACAAAGGCCACCAAGCAGCCACCAGATGGTAACAACTTTTGGTCACTACTGTACAGGGTTGGATTTGAACTAGCAACCTAGAGGTGAAAGGTTCTGCATTTCATTGCCAGTTCCCATAGCCAGCCAGCCAGCCGGACCTCCCTCCAGAGTGTTCTTTCTTTTCCTTCAAGGCAAACTGGCTAACCTGAAAGGCAAACATAGTACTGTTGAGGAAACAGCATTTGTAGCAGAAGCTACACTACAAGGTTTAAAAAAAAAAGAAAAAAAAGATTTTCTAAAATAATAATAATAAAAATAAACCCAAAACCAAACAAACCACAAAAAAACCCACAACATTTATTTTTTCAGTTTTTAAAACATATCCATCACAGCTCCCTTTTAGGACATTTACTCATTAAAATACAAATTTAATGACATATTATCTAGGAAAAAACAATCACAGTGCTCAGCCAAAAGCTTGTGTAAACAGAGGGAATTTAGCTGCTCTCAATGTTTAAAAACAAAACAAAACAGATAACACAAAACTTGAGTATCAGAGGGGTAGCCGTGTTAGTCTGAATCTGTAAAAAGCAACAGAGGGTCCTGTGGCACCTTTAAGACTAACAGAAGTATTGGGAGCATAAGCTTTCGTGGGTAAGAACCTCACTTCTTCAGATGCAAGTAATGGAAATCTCCAGAGGCA